GCCGGGTGGGAGCCGCCCGGAGGTGCTGCTCTTCCCTCGGAGTGGGTGCGGAACCCCCGCCCCGCCCGGTGTCGCCGGCCAGGCGAACATTCAGGCCCTGTCTTGGAGCGCTGTGGTGCCAGCTGCGTGGCTCCCCCGCAGGACAAGGAGCTGCGGCTGCAGGGTCAGTGTGAGGCGGGCTGGCTCTGCCCCTCGCGGCCCCATGCTCCCCCGTTCTGCCCTTGCCCTTGGGTTCCCCCCCTTCCCCCCTTGTGCTGTGACGCGGATTGAAATTGGCCGAGCACTCCGCGTGGCCGGAGATCACTTGAGACAGGCTGACCCCGCTGGGGTCGCATTCAGACTCGGGTCAGTTCTGCCCTCCTAAACTGGCCCCCCTGGGTTTTCCACTCCCCTTGCTAAACTCTGCTCTGTACTATTGCTGCTGCAGGGGCTCTGCGCTGCGCCACCCCAGAGGTGGCTGCATTTCGTGGGTTGGGGGCATGAGCTCTCTCCTGTATGAATCAGGCCAAAATCCCGACTCCCTCACTTGGCTGTTAGCCCTGCCTCATGGGTACCCAGGGCCTGGGAGAGCAGGGGACAATTCTCCTAAGCCTCCGGGATCTGGCCTGTCATCCGGCGCTCGGGGCCTTTGTGACGAATGGGCACGAGGACAGGACAGCTCGGTCTGTAGCGCCTGGGGCTGGTCGTCTCAGTGGGGCGGGTTGAGCGCTGGGCCGGGGGTGCCCCGGTGCGAACAGGCTGGCGCAGATAAAGGTACCACGAGAGCCAGGGGATAGGAAAGGGAGCACTAGGATGGGGGCTGGCGTGTCCCCATGGGGCTAGCCCTGTACAGGCTGCATGCGAGTGCTGGGCGCCGCGTGGGAGGGCCAGGGGCAGCTCGCCAGGGCGGTGGCGGATTCCAGCGCTGGCGATTCGGAAATCATGGTGAGCTGCTTTTCCAGCAGGCGCCCGAGAGCGACCGGGAATGAACTCGGGGTCCTGGCTGGAGGGGCCGGGCGCTCGCGCTGAGTGAAGGGCCAGCGCCGGGCGCGCGGGACGTGTTCTGCGCGGGGAGCGTGGTGTCCCCAGCTGGCCAGGGCGGGTGCTGACGGGGGCTCTCGGCTCCCTGCAGAGCTGGAGGCGGAGGAGTGGTACAAGACTCTGTCCGTGGAGTGCCTTGGAGCGCGTCTCAACGATATCAGCCTGGGGGAGCCCGACCTCCTCGCTCCCGGGGTGCAGTGCGAGCAGACGGGTGAGAGCTGGCAGCGCCCAGGGGACGGGGAGCGCCCTGCAAGAAGGCTGGGGGGGGGCTGAGCATGTCCCCCTGTGGGGATGGCAGGGGCCACTGGGCTGGGGGGCTGGGCGTGTTTCCCTGTGGATAACTGGATGTGTCTCCCCGTGGAGCTAGCATGGGGCACCAGAATGGGGGCTGGTGGGGAATGCTGGGGTGGGGGGTGGGCA